CTCTCTCTCTCTCTCTCTCTCTCTCTCTCGATCTCGACCACCGTACTGATGACATCCAATCAACTCCCTGTAGGACAATTCCGGTTCCAACTTTTTGTTTCTAGCCACTTGTAATGCTCGCTGCTGAATCCGATTCGACGTGTTGCCGCTCATGCAGACTTGAGCAACTTCATGAGCTGTTTGCGCTTATCGGACGGGGTCTGTAGACGGCAGGTGAGGGATGACCGAGAGTCAGCAGTGACGAACATGTTGCGATTGGGGTAGCACAGTGGATGAGGACAACTCGCAATACCATCCACATCGCTTACGCGCGTAGGGCTTCGTCACGTTGTGCTTAGCCCATCTTGCATGACTATCGACGCGGTAATGCACTCAAACCACTTGCTCAGAGCTTCGTCTCCCTTGTTTGCACTCACATTCCAATAGAGCTGCTTCCTGTGCACGTGAGGTTCGATCCTCAGATTGACGGGCCAATTCTGTGGATCCAGCGCTTGTCTCCTCAACAACTCTTGCGCAACAGATCCTTCTCTGACCACTGTGGAAGTGTGAGCACCCAAGGTAGTGTCGCTCCTCTCCACTTCCACTGCCCCGCTAGGCGACCTCAAAAGAGGCGCAGACGATGGTAAGCGAATCTTTTGTGGTGTGGCTGAGCTGCTGCTGCTATTTGAGAGGGTGAATGGCTCGATTCGGATACTTTTACGCAACGTCGCGCGCATGGTGAAAAGGAGATCTGACAATGTCAGATTGCGCACCGCACGAATACGATGCGAGCACCAATTGAGAGTAGGCTCGAGCTGTCTACTGTGATCGGAGGGTGATTCGTCGCTTAGTCGCCGTAGTGGGGACTTGCACTTTGAAAAGTCGTTGGTGGAATCGAGGCTGGACAACGAGGGCTGCAGTTCGGTGCCGAGTATTGAAAGACGAGGGCAGAGTGCGCAGAGTAGAAGCAGAGATTCTTGAAGAGGTCCGATGTGATGACAAGAGCCAATCAGAGCGATTCGGATGGTGTGCGTCGCATGCTAAGGGTGGCAGAGCATGATGAATGCAAACACACACAGCAGCGCGACTGTGTCTTCGATGC